AAGAAAGAAAGAAAGAAAGAAAGAAAGAAAGAAAGAAAAAAGAAAGAAAAGAAAGAAAGAAAAGGGGAGGGGAGGGGAGGGGAGGAGGAGGGAGAAGGGGAAGGGGAAGGGAAGGAAAGGAATGAAGAAGTACAGAAGAAGCCACAGAGACTGGTAGGAGGGGCAAAAAGATGGATCAGGAAGGCCCCACATCCATGGCGTGGTGATTAAAAATCAGGAGGGATAGCTTGGCTGCAGAATCTCCTCACCACCCATATCCTCGTTGAGGAGTTCCCACGCCCCCCAACAAGGCTCCCCAGCCCAGGGCTCCACAGAGGGCTGCTGAAGTCCTAGGCACAAGGATTATTTGCTGGACTCACTCATTCTGAGCTCCAGCAATGGGGCAGCAGCTCAAAAAGTGCCAGGGCCATCCAGGTAAGAAATGAATTGTCTGGCTTCAAGGTGAGGGCTGGATTAACAGCTTTCTCCCTGACAGAAATGCACAGACACTGTTGTTCCTAGGTAAGGACTTCGTCCACCTAGCCTGCAGGCACAGACAGGCACCAAATCTGAGTCTACACTAAACTGGCTAACACCACTTGCACTACCTTGCTGATTCTCAGAGACTCCATCCAACCCAACTTGCAGGCCCAACCAAGTGACTTCCAGCAACTTTTTTATACAGCCTGTCTCCATTCTGCTGCAAACTTTCCCAAAACCTCTCAAATGTTCCCAACTCCAAACAAGCAGCAACTGGCCATGGCATGCCCCATACCTCTTGCTAAACAGCCCAAAGACAAGCACTAATGGCAGCTGGCCTCAGTTGGCAGCTTAACCTCTCCTAGGCACCTCCAAGTACAAGGCAATTATCTACAGATCATTTTGTAGCTCATACCAGGTGGCCCTGAGCCAGGCACAGGCAGTGGCTGACCTTAGATTGCATCAGAGCCCCTTCCAAGAGGCCCCAGAGCAAATTCAAGTGTCCAGAGCACCCCCACAATTGGCTCCACAAACAACACTCCCAAAGGGCAGACTCAGCAGACACCAATGCCCCAAACAACAGCTTGTCCATTATACTCATGGCCAGTCCTCACAGCAAGTTAGCCTGAGGGTCTATCCAACCCACTGACCTGACAATAGCAATCAAGGCTCAACAACAAGAGGGCCCAAGAACCCACACAAGGGACACCCCAGAGCACCCAGCCCAGGTGACCAGGGATATGGCGCCACTGGGCCACATAGAACACCTACTACATAAGGCCAACCTGCCCAAATCAGGAGATATGGCAGATCTACCTAATACATAGAAACAAACACAGGGAAGAGTTAAAATGAGGAGACAAATGAAAGAATAGAACAAAACTCCAGAAAAAGAACTAAACAAAACCAAAACAAGCAATCTACCAGATGCAGAATTCAAATCAGTGGTCATAAGGATGCTCAATGAACTTAGGAGAAGAACAGATGAACTCAATGAGAACTTTAACAAAGAGACAGAAAACATAAAAATGGAGATGGAAAACATAAAAAAGAGCCAGTCAAAAATTAAGAATATAATAACTGAAATAAAGACTATATTAGAGGGAATCAACAGATTATGTGAAGCACAGAATCAAATCAGTGATTTGGAAGACAAGGTTGCAGAAAACACCCAATCAGAACAGGGGAGAAAAAAAAAGAATCCAAATAAAATGAGGATAGTTTAAGGCAGCAGTCGCCAACTGGTGGTCTGCAGACCACTGGTAGTCCGTGAGGTCCAAAAGGTTGGCAACCGCTGGTTTAAGGAAACCTTTGGAGCAGCAGTTGCCAACCGGTGGTCCACGGAGCACTGGTGGCCGTGAGGTCCGAAAGGTTGGCAATCACTGGTTTAAGGCACCTCTGGGACAACGTTAAGTGTAACAACATTCATGTCATAGGCGTACCAGAAGGAGGAGAGAGCTAAATGTTGAAAACATATTTAAAGAAATAATGACAGAAAACTTCCCTAACCTGGCGAAGTCAATAGACATACAAGCCCAGGAAGCAGAGTCCCAAACAAGATGAACCTAAAGAGGCCCACACCAAGACACAGCATAATTTAAATGCCAAAGGTTAAATACAAAGAGTGAATCTTAAAAACAGCAAGAGAAAATAACTTAGTTATCTTCAACGGAGTTTCCATAAGACTGTCAACTGATTTCTCATCAGAAAATTTGCAGGCCAGAAGGGATTGGCATGAAATATTCAAAGTGATGAAAAGTAAGGACCTGCAACCAAGATTACTCTACCCAGCAAAGCATCATTTAGAATGAAAGGACAAATAAAGAGCTTCCCAGACAAGAAAAAGCTAAAGGAGTTTACCACCATTAAACCTGTAGTACAAGAAATGTTAAAAGTACTTCTTTAAGAAGAAAAAAAAGATTACAAAATATGAATATTAAAATGGCAATTTCTACATGTCTATTAACAATTACTTTAAATGTATTTGGGTTAAATGCTCCAATCAAAAGACATGGGGTGTCTGAATGGATAAGAAAACAAGACCCACGCACATTCTGCAAACAAGACCCACCCACATTCTGCCTACAAGAGACCCACTTCAGATTAAAAAAACAATGCACTGACTGGAAGTAAAAAGATGGAAAAAGACATTTCATGCAAATGAAAATGGAATAAAAGCTGGAGTAGCAATACTTATATCACAAAAAAATTAGATTACAAAACAAGCTATAGCAAGAGACAAAGAAGGACTCAGCATTCCACTTCTGGATATTTATCCAAAGAAACCAAAAACACTGATTCAAAAAGACATATACATCCCTATGTTCACTACAGCATCTACTAGGATCTACATAATAAAAGATATACATGTAAATTGACCATCCCTCCGCTACGCTCACCAGCCAATCAGGAGTGAATATGCAAATTAACCCAACAAAGATGGTGGGTTAATTTGCATACACAGGCGCCGGGTGGAGAGCAGAGCGGGAGAGCTGGCGGAGAGTGGAACAGCTTGGGGAACTTGGCCCCCCAAGCCGCCAGACCAAGAGCAGAGAGGGAGAGCTGGCAGCTTGGAGGACTTGGCAGAGTGGGAGGCCGTGGGACGGAGACAAAGCAAGAAGGGAAAACCAAGAGCACGGGGAGCACCAGGAATTCTGGGAATAGTAGTTCTGGTGGCAGCCCCAGGACCAGAAGCTGAAGCCCAGAGCACGGGGAGCACCAGGAATGCTGGGAATCTAGGAATGACGGATCTCCTAGACACTAGAGCAAAGTGAGCCTGGAGCAAGTTACGGTTGTGGTGGGGGATGGAGGAAAAGCAAAGGTGAGAGACATAAGTAAAATCAGAGTGTCTAGGAAAAATTAAAGGGAAGATATCCTAAAACTTCCAGGAAATCTCCACCAATGAAGTAAAGAAAAAAAAATGCCTCTATTATTCTGTGAGCAACAAACCAAACTGAGTTGGGGTCTCAGACAATTCGCCATATGACTGCAAAGACAGACAGAAACTCCCAATTGGAGAGGGCTCCCAGATTGGAGAGGGTGCAGGTCGGGCTAAGGGACCGAAACACTGTAACGACCGGAATGACCAGTTGCCATGACGCCCACTGTGGCCAGCGAACCAGCCCGACTATAGGTGGGGCTGGGGGCCAACCTCCTGCTGCCCCTCCCCCCAGCCAGCCCCACCCCTGATGGGCCCCCACCACCACGATTGGCCTGAAGCCCCTCCCCCAGCTGGCCCCACCCCAATGGTGGGGCTGGGGGCCAACCTCCTGTGGCCCCTCCCCCAGCCAGTTCCACCCCTGATTGGCGCCCCCCACTCCAATCAGGGGCAAGGCCGGCTGGCCAACTGCCTGCAGCCGCTCCCCATGGCTGGTCCCGCCTCCCCATCGGCCCCCCCCCCCAAACCCATTTGGGGGGCGGGGTG